CGCGGTTCGGTCGGTGGCATTCGGTCGGGTTCGGCTCGGTCGGTGGCTGCGCCGCCGGGCCGCTCCAGGCTGTGTGTCGGTCTGCCGGTCTAGGTTTCGGTGGCGGGCTCGGTCGGTTTCGGTTCTGGCATCGCTGTGAACACCGAGGTCAAGGGCGAAGCGTCCACCATTCTAAGAACCTTTTGTGGTCTGCGCGAAATGTTCTTAGAATATTTCTGGTTTTGACTGTTTTGTTTTAACATAACGAGATTATGTTCTAAGAACATTTTTTTGCTTTTCGAACATGTATGGGTTCTACGAAGACTTCGTGGTAGGCCTATAGGAGTGCCGGGACGGTCGGCCCCTGCTCAACGAGGGGTCGGAGGAGAGCGCCGCGTCGCTCGTGCATCGACGAAAACGCACGATCCGCAGCCCGAATTTTCGTTGTCCCAGCGGCTCCGATGCATCGGCGACCGCGACCCTCCGACCCCATTTGCTGCAGCCCCCTCTGGGCCATGGTTCCAGGTGTCACGGTGTTTGAGTGGTCTGCGGGGGTGAGGATCCGGTCTCGACGGCGCAAGAGCGCGTCAAGCCGACGGCCTCCGGAGAGCGAGAAGCGGAGTGAACGCATGTGACCAGCCTCCACCGCCCGCCAGATCGATGCCCTCCCCAGCCACTTCGACGATAGGTGGCTCGTGGCACCCAGTGCGGCCTGGTGCCAGCAGTTCTGACCACGGGTGCCAGATCGTGCCCGCAGAGTCGCGCCGCGCCCCGCGGGGCAGGCAGCTGTGGGCACCAGCACCAGCACGACTCTGTCTCCTGGTGTGGGGGGGCAGTCTGCACTTGTGGGTAGATCGCGAAGGTGCCATAGATGTCTCTACGGGCAGGGCGCATCGGATAGCACTGCTGGACGCCGTCATCAAGAGTGTGACCTCCGGCTAGGAGGTTAGGAGGATGAGGAGGCCAACGCACCATGGCCGCTCTCCGTCACATTGTATTGTGAAACGGCCGAGGGTAGCACCGTTCATGTGCGATCAGCGGGGTATTGCGGGCTTAGCATTCCATCGATAGCAGCTTGGCCGTTCCTGGACCTTCGGCTATACTTTCAACGTGTTTAAACCAACACCACGTTGGTTTAGGAAGGTGTTCGAGGTTCCTTGGGTACTTCGTTTGTGCCTTAGGCCCCGTTCATTGTTGAAGGCTCTGCCTTATATCGAGCCTGTGGTTGTGCAGTTAACATGCCGAGGATCTGGACGAGATGAGGGCCCGCGTGGACGCGACGCACTCCATCATCACCAGTCGTCAGCGTGTGGAGGCGCCATGCGGCGAGCGCAGAAAGCTCGGCGGGAACGAACGCACGGGGAGGTGAAGGGGCACTGGTAACGCATAATGACGGCAAAGAATTGCCCAGGGGGCTTCAAGCAGCGGCTCCCTGGGAGATGGTTTGGCATCGGGCCTGCTGATAGCCGCTATGCCATAGGCGTCGCCAGCATTGAACCTCGTGCAGTGAAGTTCGTTGGTCGTCCTCCAAGATCTCCCCCAGCGGCAAAAACTAGTTGTTATATGTCAGATTGTGTTTCCCTTATTGTCATGCAAGTTTACGCAGGTCTGGGGCACCTGACCGCCCGTTGCCTCTGTTTTTGCCCCTCGGGTCTCCTCCTGACGCTGATGCGCCTTGCTCTTGTGAGTGCACGCAGCGGCGGGAGGATGCGGAGGAGCAGCGCTGACCATGAGGGACAGGGTTCAGGCGGCGTAGGCAAAGCAGGCTCGGGGCTCGGGGGGTGATATTGTAGAACCCCCCACCTTGCCAAGACGATCAGCGAATTCCTTCTCGGCTTCTGTGTTCTGTCCCCGGAGCGTTCTCACTAACGGATGTTTTGCTAAACAGGATCGTGGGGAGGCGATGGAGGAGAGGAGTGAACGAGCAGTCGAAAGAACGAGTCTGCCGTCGCCCAAAAGCGACCCAAGAAGGGCGGCAGGCGCACCACACACGTTGGCCTCCTAGGAGGCTGGGTTGGAGGAAGCGGGTGTGGAACGACGGAGAATGAGCGAATCAGCACACCAATGTCTTCCTTTACGGCCGAGGCCATGGCATTGGAAGACGCAGTGGACTTGATATGGGAGTTCTTGAGAACATGATCGTGCGATGTTTACTTTGCAACGTCAGTGACAGGCTAGTGGATGAGGATCGGGATTGAGGCCCAGGGGATGAGGCGGATAAAGGGAGGACCCCCACCCCGTCCTCTCTCTGGGCTCGCGCCGCAACACCGGTCGCATCGCCGATGCATCGGCGATGCGGCTCGATGTTGAGCCCGCTTTACTCCACGCCGACGCCGCCGATTCATCGCCCACGTCGCCGATGCTGCAGCGATGCGGTGCAATCTTCCAACACCATCCATTCAGAACCCATCTGGAAGGCCTCTACTCTCTCAGTGGGGGTGGAAAGAGCATCCGGCGGCGAGAGATTTATTTGTTTTGTCCCGCGGTTGCTGCGGCTACGGAGCTACACCCTTTCACCGGCTGTTGCCTGCTATGATTCGCGTGATGCCGTGAAACGTGTGCTTGGCGTTCTCGCGCCGATCTAGCATCGGTGATTTTTGGACACAATCGATTTTCTAGTTTTTTTCGTGGACTCACATCACGACGACGCACGATGACCCAAGGGGGGGACCCCAGTCGGACGGGGCCAGGACGAGGTTAGATCCGTTTCAGAGCGTTCCGGAACGCGTTCAGAGCACCCCGGGACGCTCTGACAAGGCCCTGGCGCCCGAGCCATTCTCGGGAGCCTCCAGGTCTCAGGGATGCTAATTCTGTCATCCCCAGATGTCCTGGCTTCGTCCGGGGTCCACGAGCGTCTCTGCGGGCAATCTTTTTATCCATATCCAGTGCGTGTTGGATTTCCTCGGGAGGGCCACCGCAAGGCCGAGGAGCCCTGGAGATGGACAGACGTCGAGCTCCTATAAGGGACAGATTCTTACCCATACCTCCACTCCGCGTCGGGGTTCTGGGGAAGGGCGCCCGAGACTCCAAACTTCCAGTGGCTATGGGCACCAGTCCTGCCCGCAGCCTCCACATCGCCCAGGGGCCAGATTCTTATCGACATCCAGTGCGCGTCGGGGCTCTGGGGAAGGGCGCCCGAGGCGCCAAACTTCAGTGGCCATGGGCACCGGTCCTGCCCGCCGGTGCTCCGCGGCCGCGGCGAGGCCGCGGCGCGGCCTCTCCGGGGCTGCGCCCGGCCTTTTCGACGGCCCAGGCCAGCTCGCACCACGGCGGCCAGCGAAGGCGACGACGAACGCGGCGCGGCGCGGCGCGGCGCGGCGCGGCGCGGCGCGGCGCGGCGCGGCGCGGCGCGGCCGACGACGACGACGACGACGACGACGACGACGACGACGACGACGACGACGACGACGACGACGACGACGACGACGACGACGACGACGAGTGGAGGCGACGAGGGCGATGGCGGCGACAGGCGAAGGGCGACGACGGTGCACGGCGGAGCGCCCCTGCACACCTCCTCCTCTTCGCACGTCCTGCCCGGCCCCCATCGCCCCTCCTCTCTCGGGCCGGGCGAAAGGGGGGGATTGGGAAAGGGGGGATTACGAAATGTGCTGCATGCAGCTGGTTTCGGCCTCACCGAGGGGCCCATTCCTCGATACATGGCCGCCTCCGGCGCCGGGAGGCGCCGGGAAAATCAGCTACTTGAGCTGATTCTCAAACCCCCCCTTTACTATCCCCCCCTTTCGCCCGACCCGACTCTCCTGCCTCGCCTCCTCCGTCCGTCCGTCCCTCGCTCCTTCACCTTCTGCCTCCCTGCCCCCGCTCCTTTCGGGGGAGCGTGAGACCCGGGTTTGCCAGGTCTCGGGTTCGCCATCGTTTTTTGACGACCGCGACTCGGATTTTGACGAGTAGGAGTTTCGTGGGATGTCTGCAGCGGGAGGCCTCGTCAAAATGCAGGCTCGGCCTCGTCATTTTTTTGACGACCTCGTCTGGGATTTCCGAGTCCCCTGTACCCGGGTCTTACGCCCCCCTGATCCTTGTTCGATCCTCTCTCCCCCATGCGCCTCTCTCCATTCGGGGGCGGAAGAGAGGGGGGTGATGACTAGGGGGGGGGGGGATATCATGGCGCGGGCCAGGATGTCTCCCCAGATCTCGTGGCGCCTCTTCTTGTTTTATTACGTCCCTGGCCCCCGACCTGGGCCGCGCACGTGCCGCCGGTCATGATTTGCACCCCCCCTCTTGGACACCCCCCTCTTGGCCGCCCCCGATCCATTCACCCTCCGCCCTCCTCCATCCCTGCTCGCGCCCACCCTCCCAACTCCCTCCTCTTCCCTCCCTCGCTCCCGCTCCCGTCGCTGCCCCGTGGCTGTCTGGCTTGGGACGCTCTGTCGGCGCCGCCGCCCCTCGCTGCGATGCAGCAGGGCGGCCGCTCCCTTCGAGGGGGAAGGGTCCCCGACGGGGGGCCCCCGCAGCCGCAGGGGCTAAACACAAACACGCGTCTGTCGCTGCCTCCCTCCTCGCGGAGGCCACGATGACGGCGGAGATCTCCACCATGCGGCTCGACATCGGGGACATCCAGGAGGCCTTGAAGAACCACGACTCCTGGATGGAGGATCGTGGAGGGGCGGGGGCGACCTGGCACGGGGGGTCGGCCCTCCCCAGAAGGCGTCCTCATCGTCGTCGTCGTCGTCGTCGTCGTCGTCGTCGTCGTCGTCGTCGTCGTCGTCGTCGTCTGGGAGGGGCCCTCCCCCAGAAGGCGTCGAGGAGGAGGAGGGGCACAGGCACTCGAAATGCCGTAGCAAAAGGCAGGGGGGCCACGACCCTCCCAGACGAGCAGTTTTCAGACCCGTCCTGCAGACCAGCCATGAAAGCGCAGCCTGTTGCCCAGACCCCACTGGGACCCTCCAACCTCCCCAAATCAGACCATTCTAGGCGGGATGGGGGGAGGCAGCAGTGAGAGCGGAAGCGGAAGCGGCGGGCGATGCGAAAGGATGCAGGAGGAATGGGGAAGGAGGAAGCGCAAACGAGGCAGGAGCGGGGAAGCCATAATGGTGCGGGAGCAGGGAGAAAGACGAGAGTGTGAGGAGTCTTGGCAGAACATATGTAGCAAAAGAGGGCAATGGGGGGGAGAGGAGGAATGACAGAGGAAGCTTCAAGGCCGGATGAAGAAGGCTGGATGGAAGAATGAATAAGGAGGACGGATTGGGGGGATGGAGGACGGAGTTGGGAAGTATGGAGGGAGCGTGGATCAGGCAGAACGGAGCAGGGAGGACGGGAAGGGAGAGGCAGGAGGGGGAGGACGAAGGCAGAGGCGGAGGAGGCGCGTGGGACGATTATGTCAGAGGATTCTGCTGGATTCTGCTGACCTCCGAAGCTCCGAAACGCGGAGCGTGGCGGCGGTGAATACTTTGCCCACCCCGGGCCGTCCCGGGGCGACCACGTTGGGATGCAGTCCACCTGGCTTTCCCGTGGTTGGGTGACGACCTTCACACAGACGGCCCAGCCGTCCAGGCATGATGCGGGGGGTTCCCGCGGATGAGGAGGAGGAGGCGGAGGAGGAGGAGGAGGAGAAGGAGGAGGAGGAGGAGGTGGAGGAGGAGGAGGAGGAGGAAGAAGAGGAGGAGGAGGAGGAGGAGAAGGAGGAGGAGGAGGAGGAGGAGGATCAGGAGGTGGGGGGGAAGGGAGGTGGCAGGGGGCAGGCGGGAGGTGTGAGGTGGGGGCGGAGGGCGGAGGGAGCGTTGAGGGAGCATGGAGGATGAGCGACGGAGGTAGGAGAGAGCATATGAACATGGTGGTGGTGGTGGCGTTGATGATAATGCATACGGTAGGTTTGCGTAGTGTCGACCAGCGGCGACCCCAGCGCGGGCGTTCAAGGTTGAACGCCGCCGGCGACCCAGAATCGATCGATGTTGAACGATCGGACGTTGCGGCAGCGGCCGATCGTTCAAGGTTGAACGATCCCTGCGGTGTCAAAAACCAACGCTGGGGTCGGCACGACACGAACCTGCCGTACGACGGCGATGACGTTACATGTGACGAAGGTGGTGTTGGTGTTGGTTCTGGTGGTGGTGGTGGTGGTGATGCTGATGGCATTGAGGATGGATGACGATGGAGGTGGTGATGATGCTGATACTGATGTGGAGGCTGATGCTGATGATGCTGTGGATGATGAGGAGGATTATGACGATGATGATGATGATGATGATGATGATGATGATGATGATGATGATGATGATGATGATGACGGTGATGATGATGATGATGATGATGATGATGATGATGATGATGATGTTGTTGATGCTGATACTGATGATGATGATGATGATGATGATGATGATGGTGGTGGTGGTGATGATGATGCTGGTGCTGATGCTATTGATGACGACGAGCATGATCGTGATATTGATCGTGATGAGGATGGTGACTGCACTGTAGGTTGTGACGATGCTGTCCGTGTTGACGAGGTTTTATAGTTGAAGGAGGAGGAGGACGATGAGACTCCTTTCCCTGCTCCGCTTCTGCGATACATCTGCCTCCGTTTTGTTCTTACGCTCCCCCCCTTCGCTCTCACTTTCGTCCGCCTCGATCATTCCATCCATCCATTACCCCTCCGCTCCTTTCCCAACTTCTCCCTACGCCCTCCCCCTCTCCCTCCTTCTTCTCCCCCCTCTTTCCCTCTTCCCGATCCTCCGCCTATATCCATCGTTCTCCGCTTCCCTCTCCCTCCTCTCCCCTCATTCCTCGCCCCCTCGTCCCCCTTTTCCCAACCCTGAGCCCCTTGCCCCTGCCCTTCCCGCTCCGCACTCTCGCCACTCCTCCCCACCATCTCGCGCGTGCGGAGGAGTGCGCGTGGAAGAGGAGGGAAAGGCGAGGGAGCGAGGGACGAGGAGGACGAGGAGGATGACCAGTGCAAACCCAAGACTTATCATCGAGATTGCAATAAACTCTCTCTCTCTCTCTCCAAGTTCCCTCACCCTGCAAAGGTCCATTTTCGCTGAAGGAAATGCCCTGTTGGAAGACAACCACTTGAAAATCTGGAACTGCGTCTTAACACCATTCCTGAGATTGCGAAGGCCTTACGGCCGTTGCCGCCGACCCTGAGAGCGACGAAGATGAAAACGAGGGGGGGCAGGGTGGAGGAGGTGGATGAAAGAGGAGGAGGGGGGAGAAGGATGTGGAGGAGAAGCAAGAGGAGGAGAAGGAGGCAGAGGAGGGAGGAGGGGGGGCAGAGGGGGGGGGGGGGAGGAGGAGGAGGAGTTGGAGGAGGAGGAGGAGGAGGAGGAGGAGGAGGAGGAGGAGGAGGAGGAGGAGGAGGAGGAAGAGGAGGAGGAGGAAGAAGAGGAGGAGGCCAGAGGCTTTCTTGGGACACCCCGTGGCTCTCCTGAGGCCGTCTTGGGCCGTCCAGGGCTCCTCTTGCGCCGTCTCCAGGCCCTCTTGGAGGCCTCCTGGGCAAGTTGGGGCTCTCCCGGGCTGTCTTGGGGCAGTTCGGGAGCCCCTTGGGAGCCTCTTGGGGCCTCTTGCGGCTTCTTCGGGGCCTCTTGGGGGCCTCTTGGGGCTGAGAGCTCGAAATGTCCGTTCGGGCCCCTTCTGGGCACTCGCCTGGAGTCGTCTTGGGGGCGTCTTGGAGGCGTCTTGGGCCGTCCTGGGGCCCTCTTCGGCCGTTAGGGGACCCTCTTGGGGGCCTCTTTGGCCGTCTCGGGGCGATCTTGGGGGCCTCTTGGGTCCTCTTGGCGCGTCGGGAAGCGGAGGAGGCAAGAACGCCCAAATCTGTCAAAAACGTATGCGAAATCGATGATTTTTGCCTCTTGGGGCTCTCGCGGGGCAGCTCCTGGAGGCCTCTTAGGGGCGCTTTGCAGGCCTCTTGGGCCGTCTGGAGGCCGTCAAGGCGTCTTGGACAGATCGTTCGGCGATTCGGGGTTCTCTTGGACTGTCTTTGGGGCCTCTTGGGGCACTCTTGGCCCGTCTTGGGGCTTCTTGGGGCTCCGGGACTCCCGGGGGGGGGCGTTCGACCCCCCTCCCCCCCAGGCCTCCCCCTGCCCGCCTCCCCCCGCGGGGGGGGGGTCGAAGGGAAGGGGCTTCCCTTCGGCTCAATTGCGACGTTGGTCAATTTCGCTTTGGCTGGCGCGCTGAGGAGGTCCCTGGGGCTGCCCGTCGACTCAAGTACGACCAACGAATGACAGAGAGGGGGGAGGCAGGGAAAGGGGACGACAGAGACGACGACCAACGAATGACGGAGATGACGAGTTGAACGGACAAGCCCCTCACACACGCAGACAGGGTCGGCGGCTTTCCAGCGCCGCGAAACACCGTTATTGTTGCAGGTTCGCGATCCTGAGTCGCGCAAGAACGCAATTCCTGGGATTTCCCCACTGCGAATCAACGTGGCCGTGGCGCCCTGACAATCCGACGTCGAGCCAACACACCACGTCTGAGATGCTGCCACGCGAATGCTCAACACTGCTGCAGGCTCTGAGACAGAAGGTGCGTGGCACTAAGGCGGGAGCTACTCCAGATTTCGTAATAAAAGGGAGGGGGTCTGGACCCTCCAAGACAAGCCATTTCAGACCTCCCCCCTGGGAGAACCCTCCAAAACATCGTCCCCAGACCCCCCAGGCCCTCCAAGATAGCCTGGAAGAGACCCCCCCCGAAATGAGACCCCCTCCCTTTTATTGCGAAATCTGGAGTACGTTTTGGACGCGGCCCGCTCTCCAGCCGCCAGCACCTCTGCAGTTGTGCAAGACGACGGTGCGCGGCGATCACGCGAGAGCCGCGCTTTGGAACCCGGCCCGCCCTCCAGCCGTGAAGCGCTTGCAACATTGCAAGACGAATGTGCGCGGCGCGCGGGCGAGAGCTACGTTTAAGTCGGGCCTGTCCCTCTACGGGAGGGGTATTCAAAAATAGTCAAACATATAGTACCTTTTGAGTTTTGAATATTTTTTAGATTTTCGTCGAAAATCCCCCTGTAGGGGAACACGCCCGAGTCAAAACTACCTTTTGAGAAGGGTCGCCCTCCATCCGTCAAACTCTGCAGTGTTTTGAGCCGGATGTGCGGGTCACTGGGGTGAAAGCGGCTTGCCCTCCATGCGTGAAGCTCCTGCATGTGTTTGAGACGCATGGGCCCAGCTCTAAGGCGAGAGCTACAGAGCACTCATTTGTAATTCCGGTCATTTGTAATTCCGGTCATTTCCAATTCCGGCCACGAATTGCAAATGAGAGGTGCCGACGGGGAGGCATGTGCTCAAGCGCTACGCCCAACTCTCCAAGGCGTCAGGGAGCAGCTTCTGCTTACGCTCGTAAAAGATCCGAATAATAACGGCAACAGCAACGTCGTCGCCGTTCCATCTGTGAGCTCGTTCCAATTTCTGGGTGGTGCATGGTGAGTGAGCCTCCGGCGCACCCGGCCCGCCCTCTCGACTGGCCTCTGGGTGCGACAGGGAGTTTCATTTCAGGAGGGGAAAAAACACACAGACACAATTAATCGTCGATCCCCAGGAAAATATAGGAAAATATGGGAAGTGGTGGGGAAGACAAAAACCCAGAAAATGTAGGAAAATATGGGGAATCTTTTTATTTGTGTGTATTTATTTGTGTGTCCCAGTTTCCCTTCATCATTCTTAGGAGCAGGAATGGAGGCGGAGGTGCAGCAGCAGCAGCGCCAGGAGCACCAGGAGGAGGAGGAGGAGGAGGAGGAGGAGGAGGAGGAGGAGGAGGAAGCAGGACAGCAGCAGCAGCGGCAGGAGGACGAGGAAGGGAGGAGAGGAGACGAGGACGGGGGAGACGGGGAGGGGATCTCGCGGAGCCCCCCGCGAGAGGACGTCTCCAACACGCTGCAGCAGATGCAGGAGACAGGGCTCGACCCAAACGGTGTTTTCGGCGATGCCGTGGGCCGTTCTCGCCTCGGCTCCGCCGTGCAGCAGCGGCGGACCGTAGACGAGACGAGGGGCCACGCGAGCACAAAACGAACCCGAACGCCACTGTCTGGGTCGAGCCCTGGCAGGAGAAGGAGGAGAACCTCACCGAGGACCCCGGCCCGCCCGCCGCCGCCGCTCGCCTGCGCCCACCGCCCTCCCACCCCCCCCCGCGGAGCAGGCGGAGCAGGGGGCTCCGGCGGCTGAGCTGGGGGACGGAGGGAGGAACGGACCCAGACACGGTCGCGACGTAACAAAAAATCAGGAGGGGAGGTTTTTAGCTACTTTCGGCCCCCGGGAGGCCCTCGCCGGGCTTCGGGCCCGTCAAAAGACGAGTCAGGACGACAAACCAGTCCCGGGGAAAGGGTCGGGACTTCCGGGGACGCCGTCCTGAAAACATCAGGACGTCGCATGTCTGGGGAGGGAGAAACGAGGCAGGCAGGGGGCGAGGGAGCGAGGGAGGAGGCGGGGAGGGGGGAGCAGAGGGGGAGGGCGATTGGGAGGGGGAAGAGGAGGGCTCGTCCCTCCCCCCCTCCTTCCCTCCCTCCCCTCCTTGCACCTCGAGCGCGTGCGGTTTATTTGTGCCTTGCGGCACACCTAGGCGTCGGCCTCTTCGGTGACTCGGGTTCGCTGTGGGTGTGTGTCCCTCCCTCCCTCCCTCCCGCTGCGGACACGTCCTATTGCGCACCTCGACCGGGAGCCGGCGCAGGCCTCCGAACCCATGGGAGCGGCTCCCCGCGCAGCGGTGGCCGGCCCCCGGGCATAAGGGGTGTGCCAGGCCAGGGCCAGGCGCGCCGCTCGGGCGCCGTGGAGGCCGCCGAGCCCCCGAGAGCTCTGGGGGGAGGGGTCGAAACTATAGACCCTTAGAGGTTACTCGAGTCCTCGCTTCCCGAAATCTTGGTCATGGATGGCGCCCCCCCCCCCCCCCCCGGGCGGCACCGCCCTCCGAGGGCCCGAGCCGCCCACGGCGGTGCCACGCCCCCGAGCACCGGTCCCGCCCCTCGTCCTCCCCCAGCAGCCCCAGCGCGGAGCGCCCTCTGCGCCCGGGCGCAGCATGGCGCGCCGCGTGGCGACGCGTCCTGTCGGCGCGGCGCACCGCCGCGGCACGCTGGCCTGGCGGGTGAGGAGGAGGAGGAGCAGGAGGAGGAGGTGGAGGAGGAGGAGGAGGAGGAGGAGGAGCAGGAGGAGGAGCAGGAGGAGGAGGAGGGGGAGGAGGAGGAGGAGGAGCAGGAGGAGGAGGGGGGAGGAGGAGAAGGAGGAGGGGGAGGACGGAGGAGGAGGAGGAGGAGGAGGAGGAGGAGGAGCCGCCGTGGAGCGCGCGCTGGAGGGCCACGCCGGCAGGCCCCATCCTCCCGCCGCTCTCGAGCGCCAGCCAGCGCGTTCCACTGCTCGCCAGGGGCCTCCTCGCCAGCGTCCGCACAGAGGACGAGCGTCTGCCTCGGTGCAGTGCATCGCGAACCCCCCTATGGCGGACCCAGGCCATCTGCGAGGAGTCACTCTGCCAGTAGTGGAGCGCGCTTGTCTCGAAGGATTGCAAAAAACCCTGGGTTTTTGGCAATCCTTGAACGAAGGATTGCAAAAAAAACACCTGCAATCCTCGTTTTTGTTTGCAATCCTGGGTTCTTTTTGCAATCCTTCGTGTTTTTTTTGCAATCCTTCGGTCAAGGGTGGGCGTAGCGACGGCGCTTCTCGCGCTCGGGCGCGGCCGCCCACCCGCCACGCCCCCGGTCTGCCGCCGCGCGCGGCCGTTGGAGCCGCGGCCCTGCGGGTGGCCGACCGCCACGTCGGCGTGTCTCGTGCGGCCCGTCGCGCATGGCGAGGTTGGGGTCCAACCTTGGGGGAACGAACAGTGACATAAACATAGAAACTCGGAGGTCGTCCTCGCGGACCTCTCGGATCGGCGCTGGAACCTCCTCCCTGGCGCGCGGAGCGCGCCAGGGGCGGCGCCGGAGGCGCCGCCAGGGGGGCGGTTCAGCGCGGATCCGAGAAGTCCGCGCGGACCTCCGAGTTTAATTATGTGTATGCCATTTTCTTCGTTCCCCTACACCTGCGCCTCCTGCGGCGGCGGCGCGCCGAGCGCGTCCTCCAGAACGCTCGCCGAAGGCGCGCAGCACTCGCGTGTGCTTCCGCGCTTGCCAGGGCCCCCGCGAGCCAGCAGAGGGCATGGACTGCGCCCCGTGGTCGTGCTGCACCGCGGCGTCGGGCACCCCGTCCACGGTGCAGGCGCTGCACGTGGCAGGCATGTTCAGCGGCAGGCCGAGGCGGACCTGAGCAGCAGCGGCGACGTCGTCGTCTGGCAATCATGCCGCGTCCTCGCCGGCCGGCAGCAGCCAAGTGCCCGCTCCAGGGCCCCCGCCCGAGCGGAGGAGCTCCTCAAACAGCGCGTTCTCCTCCAGTTCGGCCAGGGCACGCCCGAGGCGGCTGTGCAGGTGGGCCTGAGGCTGCGTCAGTCCGAGGCGTACGTCGTCCTGCACCGCGAGCCCTGCTCGCTCCAGCGTCGCCGTCGCCGCGCCCACTCTGGCCGCCAGAGGGGCGCCCTCGCTCTGAGCTCCTCCGACGTGCTGGCATGAGCGGCTTCCGCCACGGCTGGGAGCGCGTCCACAGCGCTATAGCCAGCCAGGAGCGCCGCTGGCGCGGTCCGCTTCCCGTCCGGAAGCCCCGAGCCGCCCTCGTGCAACGGCCCGCGCGGCCAGCGAGAGCGGGAGGGGTCCAGAGAGAGAGGCAGAGCCGCCCAGGGCGGTCGCCCTGGTGGCCTCCTGGGGCGTCCATAGCTGCGTCGGGGGTGTGCTCGTCGGCCGGCCGCGTGCGCGCGAGGACGTCCGCACCTGCCAGCACGACCCGCGCGGAGGAGGCCGCAAGCCCGGGTGCCCTGCCCTGACCTGCCGGGGCCAGCTGCCGGAGGCGGCCGCGGGCGCGTCGGCGCCAGCTCGGGCTCGAGCCCATGTACCACACCCGGCCGCATTTTGGGGAGGGCACCTCCCCCGATCCACGGCTTTGGCGACCGCGCGCCTAATCCATGGATCGTTAGTCCATGTTTGCGCGCCCCCGAATCTCTCTCGGGGGCTTCGTCGGGCCTCTTGGAACCGCTTGGGGGCCTCTGGGAGTTTCTCGGGTTCTCTCGGGAACCTCAGGGTTTTTTTCGCGGGCCGCTAGGGGGCCTCCTGGGGGGTCTTTCGGGGCCTCCTGGGGGCACCTGAATGGTTTGGAGGGGCTTCTTGGGGGTTCCTTGAGGGCCTGTTAGCGTTTCCTGGGGCATCTTAGAGGTTTCTTGGAGTATCTCGCGTTTCTTGTGGGTCTCATGGGCCGTCTTAGGGTGATTGTTGATGTTTCTCGAACCGTCTCGGACGCCACAGGGAGACATGCTAAACACGTGCGTTTCTCGAACGGAATGGAGAGATGTTTGCATGTCGAGGTTACCATGAGAGGCCTGTTGGGGACCGCTTGGGCCTGTCAAGGCCATCTTGAGCTTTTTTGGAGCGCTCTCGGATCGTCTTCGGGTCCTCCTGCATCTCTCTGAGGCCGTTTTGGGGGCATCTTAGGCCGTCTTGGAGGCTTCTGGAGCCATCTTGAAAACTCGTGGAGCGCTCTGGGATGCGTGGAAGGCCGCACCCGGGAGCAATACCATCTCTGACCCGAGTCTGCTGAGACCTTTCTGGGATCTCGCCGGGTGGGCGTACTTCTCGCCCACGGACCCCCAGGGGCGGCCCCGTGCGCACGAATTAGGTGGATATTCAATTCACCTGCTCCTAGAGATCTTAACACGCCTCTGGCCACTTGGGCCAGCGAGTTTTGCACTACTGGTGGGACTCCAGTCCGCCAATAATCGGGTATAGCCAGGACCCTGGTGAAGGGGAGCCGGTTAGTGTTTGGGCCTCGAGATCCAAAATATTGATCGGAATCACTAAATCAAGTCTGCCGTAGCTGGTGTTTTTTGGGTTACGGCAGTTTCAATCAGTGGACTGGGGCGGGGGGGGGAAGGGCGTCCCCGTTTACACATCACTAAACCAGGTCACACTAAACCTTGTGTTGCCAAGGCCCCAAATACGGTCGCCGAAAAATTAGCTGGTTTCAACTCGCGGGGGGGCTTTCCCCCAGGGCGCCGCCGATCCTTGACCTAGGAACGACCTTCGGCACGTAGCCCCCAAGCACCGAGAGAGCCGACGGGAGCTGTGCGCCACACTCCGCTGTGGAGCGGGGCCCGCAGGGAGACCACGTCCATTTGTCTGTGTCGCCGCGCCTGCGGACCCGAGGCGCGGTCCAAGGCGGGGCCGCGAAGAGGCACGCAGAGATGGGTGGAGGCAGGCGGAGGACGGGGGACGGCCGCTCGGAGTGCAGTTGCAATAGCTCCAGTTCGGCGCTCCGGACGCTGTGCTGTGGGTGTGCGTGTGGGTGTGTGTATGTGTGTGCGCGCGCGTGTGTGTGTGTGTGTGTGTGTGTTGTGTTGTGTGTGTGTGTGTGCGTGCGTGCGTGCGTGCGTGCGTGCGTGCGTGCGTGCGTGCGTGCGTGCGTGCGTGCATGCGTGCGTGCGTGCGTGCGTGCGTGCGTGCGTGTGTGTGTGTGTGTGTGTGTGTGTGTGGGTGTGCGGGTGTGTGGGTGTGGGTCAAGCTAGCCAGCTCGAGCGAGTCAAGCATGGCATGCCCATTCCCACCCGCCCTCCCACAGCATAAGAAACAGTGATGGCACAAGTGGGGGCTGCGCGGGCATTTAAGTCAGTGCGAGTGGAGGATACCCCAGGACACCGCATTGACGTCCGCGCGGGATGCGCGCCGCGTCCCACACCCGCCGCGTATTTCGCATCGTCGACGACAAGACTGGCCATGTTGAAAGGAACAACGGACACGTTCCGCCCTCCCACAACATAAGAAACAATGCTGGCGCAACTGGGTGCTGGCGCGTAGTGGTAGTAGTAGTAGTAGTGGTAGTAGTAGTAGTAGTAGTAGTAGTAGTAGTAGTAGTAGTAGTAGTAGTAGGGTCACCCGTCGTCGATGGCCGGCTTGTTTATGGCCGGTAGTTTGGTTGGGTTTCTATAGAGGTGCACGAACACCCGGTATAAACTACGCGTCCTTCACACTTGACCTATGGCCGGCACGCTGTGAGGAATCCTAGGGAATTC